GCTGTGAGGAGAGTTTCTAAATAATTCCTTTTTTGTTTAATTGTTTCCCATCTAGCTAAACATCCAGAGATAAAAGCGTTGATGAAGCCAGACTACAACTTGGTCTGGGTGGTTGTGTTGATGGTTCTTGCCCAGTTGACTGCGTTTTATCTAGTTAAAGACTTGGACTGGAAATGGGTAGTCTTCTGGGCATATGTTTTTGGAAGCTGTATTAGCCACTCCATGACTCTGGCTATTCATGAGATCTCTCACAATAGTGCCTTTGGCAACAGCAAAGCAATGTGGAATCGATGGTTTGGAATATTTGCCAACCTCCCTCTTGGTCTCCCGTACTCCATATCCTTCAAGAGATACCACATGGATCATCATCGTTACTTAGGAGGCGATGGAATTGATGTGGACATTCCAACCAACTTTGAAGGCTGGTTCTTCTGCACCCGTTTTAGGAAGTTCATATGGATTGTTCTTCAGCCTTTTTTCTATGCGATTAGACCTCTCTGCATCAATCCCAAACCCATTACTCGACTTGAAATAATCAATTTGTTGGCTCAGCTTTCTTTTGATGTTGTGATATATTATTTATGGGGAGTCAAATCCACTTTTTACATGCTTGCTGGTTCAGTACTTGGACTTGGGTTGCACCCAATTTCAGGACACTTCATAGCTGAACATTACATGTTTTTAAAAGGACATGAGACTTATTCCTACTATGGGCCACTTAATTTGCTCACTTTTAATGTTGGCTATCACAATGAACATCATGACTTCCCCAATATTCCTGGCAAGAGCCTTCCACTGGTAAGTTTGCTTCCAAGGTTATTACTTTTTCTTAAAATAAGCCCTACTTCAACTTGAAAATCAGATAGAAAACTGATAGTTAGAAGAATGGAAGTTGGGAGATAAAAAAAAAAACCCAAAACAACCAACCACAAAACACAAAAAAACAACCAACCAAAACCCCCCAAACCAGACAAAAACCAGGTCAATTTCTAAATTGAGTGAAGCAGTGGATAATTACTTACCATTTTAGTGGTAGCCTGAACAAGCTTCCAATGTGCTGGCTGCTTAAGCCTCTTCCATAAAAGGAGAGGGGAGGAAATGCATGTCTTGTGCTTTGCACTAACTTTAGTTTTCTGTAATTACAACCAGCTTTCTGTCGTCTGTGGTTTGTAAGCATGCAGGAAACTAGTTCAGAATCTGCAGATACCTTCAGAGATTCGTCGGCTCTGTCTTTGAAATCTTAAGGACAAAATTGTAATTCATGCTTATCCTTCAGTCTCTTCCATCACTGACATTCTCTGGTGGGGAAAAGAGGTGATTTGAGGTACTGCTAATGTTTATTGTACTGTTGACAAATGTTTAATAGCTTTATACTTTGGAGCAGCTCAGTTTCCTCTACTGAGAACCTTTGAACCTTAAGTAAGTATCAGCTGTACATTGACAGAATTAAGGCTTCAAAGCTAAGACTTAAACCTGTCACATCTGCATGAGTAGCAGGTGTCAATTTTCAAACTAGTTCTCCCCACTTCAGTCTGTGCTAGTTTAAGCAGGAGCTTAGTTCTCATCGTATAGGGGTTTCCCAATTGTAGCATGGGAACACAGGGTTCCAGGGTTACACATGAAACTTACCTTCAGTGAAAAGTATTTTTCATCAGAACTAAATTTGCAATCTGACAGCAGCTGTGGTATTTGTATTTTATCTTTGTTATAGTACTTGGTAATAGTAAAACCTTGTAAGCTTGTGCCTTCTGTGCAGTCTAAAACTTGATTGTTATTTCTGTTGTCAGTGGTGGAACTGTAGATGAAATAACTACTCCAGCACTTCTTTAGCGAGGCACTTAAATTCTGGAATTGGTTTGTTGAGATTTTGGTTTTGTGGTTTTTGTTGGTTTGGGGAAAAGAAAACACCAAGCCTTGATGATTTCTCTTATTCACTGATTTCATTTTCAAATACAGGTAAAGTTGCTTTAACTCACCTTTGATACCTAGATCTGTGCTAGTGAACCAGCATTTCACTTCTTGCACCAGTACTTAAATTGTAAATAGGGAATGATTTTTTCCAAGTATTTAATGGCAGAGGTAAATACCCAGCTCTGCTACAGGACTCTTATCCCACAGCTCTGATAAGAAGACAAAGCCTTCTTTTAGAACAGTGTAGTTAATTTGATTGGACTGGACTCTGCTGTGCTGTGTGCTAAAGATCACTGAAGTACTTAACACTTGATTCCAGCTGGGGTACTGGTGAGCTGAGAATAATTACTGTTGAATAAAAGTATACTGGCTAGATGCACTATTCTATGGGTGTGATGACGGATCAAAATGATCTTCAGCTCTAAACCAGGCATGCAAATCTCTTGGGTTTGTTTGTTGCTTATACAAATTAATATTTTTTTTCTTCTGCCTAAAGCTATGGAATTTAGTGAAAAATCAGCTTTGTTCCATTCAGGTTTTTAAGGCCTTAGGTGGTTGGCCTTATCAGTAAATATATCTAACTGAAACTCCAGCTCTCTTAGTTTAGAACAGTGGTCTAGTCAGCATGTACATCTGAGAAAATCTTTCAAAGCAGTTTATATTCATTATTTAATGTCTGTCTACAGAAACAAGATGTTCCTCAGAAATAAAATGTTTTTTCTTCTGAGTGCTGAGGTTTGAAACTAAATGTAGAAATAGCTGTGTTAAACATCTCTTCCTAGAACTTACAATATCCTTTTTAGAGATACTCATATACTTATGAGCCAGCACTGATCTGAGTCACCCACTTCCACTAGCAACCAAACTGCTTGTTTTTGTGAGCTATATCATTCTGTAGGTAGCACAGTGAACAGACTTCAGTATGCTAGCAGAGTTTGTTCTGGTTAGCTTCAATATAAAAGTTTCATATGACACTTAACAACCAGAGAGTTGCTTTTTCTTTCAAGAAACTTTCACGTTGTGGCACTAGTAGCCTTTCTTGTAGAATCTAACATCTAAAATGAAACTTCTAGTGCTCTGCATTAAGCTACAGGTTAGGGATTGTAAAGTTGTCGTGACTGGTGCTAATAGAACTAGTAAGTAAACCTTGTATCTCTTTTTTAGGTGAAGAAAATAGCAGCTGAATACTATGACAACCTGCCACAATATAACTCTTGGATAAAAGTACTGTATGACTTCGTGATGGATGACACAATCAGCCCATATTCACGCATGAAAAGGCAATTAAAGGGTGAAGTGAAGCAAGATTAAACTTCTGGCAACCAAAAAACTTTGAAATGTCTGCTTGCTTTAAAGTGGCTGGTATTAGGTCTCTTTCTAAAGCTGTTCACCAGTGTCCTGAATTAAGATCTACAGCAACATAGCAATGCATCCTTAAGGATTTTGTAGCAGACTCCTACCAGCTATAACATTCCTCACAGTCCTCAGATTCATTGGTTTGATGTGTCTATGTTTGCCTAAGGATCAGTGTTATATGCATAATGCTAAATCACTTTGTTACAGAATTTACTTTGGCAGATGTTAAATATATATAAAATATCTGTCTGCCTCTTAATATTTAAAAAGTTCTCAATGTAGTACACCGCCCACAACATGCTATTTAGATGACTGTAGTGTTAAAATGCTGTACCTGTTAATTCTAACCTAACGTGATTTGTTAACTTAAACCTTCTGTTGAACCTGTTTCCTAACTTATGGGTGGAAGAACTAAATTTGCACAGAAATGTTAAGTCTGCTTTTGTTTAAATATGTAATGTGTCATTTGAAGCATTGCTATAAAGTTCTACCTTTTCTACTGAAAGTACCTTAAAGGAGCAATCTGTCAGAATGAAACTGGCATCTTTGAGATGGCTTGTGTGACTTCCTTGTAAAAAGGTGGGGAATTCAAGGGTATTGCCAACTTTGTGGGTCCCCACCTACTGCCTAAGCTGCTTGTGTTAGCATATAGCTTGTGCAGCTAGCATTTAGAATTGTATTGTGTAAGCCACTAAGTAACTTAATATAACTGATTAGGTTTTTTATAGTGGAAAAATCCTGTTACAGTTTGGGGTCTTCTGATCTGCAAAGAAAAATGATTAGGCCTGCCCTAACGGGTTCTGCTGTTACTGTGGTTTTAAATGCTCAGTCTATAAATATTTACACTCATTTGGAAGTTTGGCTTATATGGAAAACTGAATCAATTGAAGCTGACACTGTTCTGGCAAACAAGGCTAGCTACAACCACTGATGACTCTACCTATTAGGCATATTAGTCATTTGTGTACACAGAAAGGTGTTGCTAAATGATCTTGGATTTTTTTTCCCCTCTAAACCTACAGTAGCCTACATGAACCCTTGTTGTTCTTGCATATTCAAATGTGGTGAGAGCACAGGTGGTGATATCAAATTCCCTGCTTAAGAATTTTTTAAATTGTGAACAAAGAATGGATAGACTTGCTGAACACTGAAGAATCTCTACATACCTCAGCACAGTATATTTGCCTTCTATCATCTAATGCATTGATGATGGCTTTAAGCTGTCAAAGATGGCTACAAATCACCCTTAAATCTCAAATGGAGATCCTATGGTATGTAATTCACTTATCTGAAAGATGGAATCGTTGAAGGTGGAAGCCTTAGCTGCTCTCCACACTGGTCTGCTGTAAGTAACTTAATTTTTAGATGCCTTCAACTCCTGCATTTTGGGTTTTTTGGAAGAAGCTGCTTGCCTGACAAGAATGTGTTGGTATGTCTTAACCCTTGCTTGCTTGCAGTCCTGTTCTTAATGTGTATTTTGTTTAAGTGTGGGCCCTTATCTGTGGTTAAGCAACAGAAATGGTATCTTCCGGAAGTGTGCCAGCTACTTAAGTGATTTCATGATGCCAATAACATGCTAGGTAGCCAGCATATTGCTCAGGGTAGAGTGTAATGTCAAAATATATTTTATCCAGTATTTTTACATGTAATTAAAAGCAAAGATTAAAGTAATACTGGGTGAATTTTTGACTGGTCCCCTTATGCTGAAGGACTTTAAGCTTTAGAGAAACTTAGTATTTTTAAAGCAGATGCAAGACCTGTTCTGTTGAGTGGTGGTGTAGATGAACTGTAAAGAATCATTGCCTCTCCTTTCTACTCAGAAGCAAACTGACTGGTTGAAAGACTTGAATAGGCTTACCAAGTTGCAAAACAGTTTCTTTTTAAGCTGCTTCTGCACAATTGCTCTATTTAAGAACCGAAAGGTGGAATTAAATCTCTCTGGTGTTGATGGTTTACCATAGCTGGATGAAGGACCGAAAGTGTCTCCAGAAAGTTTTATGGCTAAAAGCTAAAGTTAAGAAATTCAGTTATCCTAGATGAATACTTAAGATAACCAGAGCTCAGAGTCAAAATTTTATACTTAGGCTTAGTGACCTACTTGATGGAATCACTGATGCCCCTTACTGCCCTCCCAATGGGTAGTGCAAGTGTGAGTTTCTGCTTTTAAACAGGACTGAAGTTGCCATCTCTAATGTTTAAAATAGCAAATGTTGCTTTAAGGTGTTATGACTATGATCTTTCCTTCCAACTCTGACTATGTGCTATTTTCACTTCAAGAGCTGCAGAACAGTGGGGAATTCTGAGGGACAGATCTATGCTTGTGATAATCTTTCTGAAACATCTGCTACTGGCTACCTATTGGAGAACACTTACTGGACTAGGTTCATCTGGGCCAGTGAGACTTAAGTTTGTATCTAAACCATGGTCTGATTCTTGCCAAGCATTGGTAACTACCACTCTTAGGCATATAATTTCTATGTATTACACAAGAGGCCTTGGCATCTAACTGCAGTAATAAGGATTTTGCCAGAAGCAGATCATCTGAAAGTTAACCTATATTGCAGCATAGTTTCATCCCTAAAAAACAGTTAGAAGCATTTCTGAACCACTGGTAAAAGGAATTAAGGCCAGCTGGACTACTTGGTCTGTGTTTGATATATTCTAAATGAATAACTATTTTTTTTCCAGTCATAATGTGGTGTTTAGGCCAAGGCATGGCACAGAAATAAGAAACATTATTTTAACAAATTAAATAATTTTCATTAATGCTATTAAAATGTATCTGGCAGAAACAGCTTTGTATAATTTTTGAAATATTTTATCTGAAAGTTGCAGGGAGCTTTGACTAACCAGTGAAGAACAAATAAAACCTAAAGAGCATTAAGAACCCTGACAGTTAACCCAATTTTTTTTTTTTTATAAATCTATTCAGATGGCATGAGTCAACTTTGGCCTTCCTACATGCTTGTTATTGTTTGTTCCTTTCTGTGCAACTAAAGCATCTTACTAGATTCTCAGTTTGGCAAACCTCTCCTTCACGTGAAATCAGCCAGGAGTTTAACTGTCAAAACACAGCTGACTTTGGGTCAGCTGTGTTAAACATATCATCCAAGTATTTTAGCTGCAGGTAAATTGTGGAGAGGTCTGAATCCCCTTCAGGGCTTTCAGACTAACTTAAGTTTTCAGAATAAACTGCCTTGCATGGCTTTCAACACCCCTCCCCCAATTATTTGAAGCTGCTTAAGTAAGTGGAATAAGTAATGCATTCTGGAATCTGATCATACTAGGCATGAGTTTTCCCACAGGACAGGCGTGGGTACTCTGGCATTCTTGTTTTGCTGTTGAACCTGTCTGTTCCACAACAGTGGCCAATTAACATGTGTTAAATGGGTGCATCTTTCTGGCTACAGAGCTCCATACTTTCAGATCCAGGGCAAGACTTCCCACCTGGAACCAGAAGTCAGTTGAAAACTAGTTAAGACTTGGTTCTGCATCTCAGAATTCCTCTGATTAAGTCTTTAAATGTAGCCAGCAAGCGTGTAACACATACTTAAAAGTCTACAGATGTTGAGAAATGGATCTGTTCTAGGTAAGGGGACACTGCTAGGTAATGAGCTCAGTGGTTCACCCCTGCCTTCTTGGCATTTATTCTTGTATTAGATGAGGTGGCATGCCACAGTAGAACTTAAAGCTGTTCATTCCTTATTTAACGATGAGGTTCAGCAACAATAATGTCAATGCTGTAGATTGCAGGCTGCCATACTAATGCTGCTGGACAAATGGGAGAAAAGTCACTTTCAAGTAGTGATCTTGCATGATAAGTGGTCTAAGACACAGCTTTTGGGAAGTGTACTCCTCTGTAATTTGAAAGAATCTCAAAAGACTTAAGGCAAAGCAAGTTCTGGTATTTGAGCTTGCACATTGCAAAGCACAGGAGCCACTTCTGGGTCTGCCAAGATTGCTTCTGCAAGGTCCCAGGAAAACAATCTGACAAATAGGTGTGTCTAGATCATGCAGATATGCCTTTAGTATAGCAACCTGCAACTCTACATACACAATTATCTCTTCTCTATCAAATCCTCTATTTCACAATCAATCAAGCCTGCAGTGGTATACAAGACTTCAGTGAGGACAAAAACATTGAAAAAGTTTCCTATTGAGCCAAGAATGAAGACAGTGTTGTGTGGAGTTGTTTTTTCCTGCTGACAGTTCCCTGTACTGCCTCTGCCCCTATCCATGCTTAAGCTAGGATCTAATATGCTCTGGGACAGAATCATTCTTGTGATTTAGATATGTGGCTAGCCTCAGGAAAAGGGACAGAAGAATGGCATGATGAACAATTTCTTGTCACAACAGAAACAAGATGACTAGAGGGAAAACCTCCTCTAGGCATGTCTGCTAGGAGGGGTGGTAGCTGCATATGCAGAACATAGTGGTCTCTATTGCATGAAAAGGCTTGTTCCTTAAAGCATTCCCTTTTCTGTGTACAATTACAAGGAATCTTGCATTTTATTTCTTATCAAGTTATTTTTTTAGTGATAAGTACTATACCCTAAGCAGAATTTCCCCCAAGAAAAAGTAGCAGTGTGGGTGCAGCACTTCCTTGTGTGAACAGTCAAATAGAGTTCAGTTGCCTACCCTTGTCTGCTCCTTGACACACATGCAGCCCAGACAAGGTAAGCAAACGCGATATGGACACTTGACTGATCTGGCTTTTTCTGCCTTTCAACTTCAGATTTTCTTGTAAATTCAAACCCTCCTGCACCCCACTTCCTCACATGTTAAGAAGAATCATCATCAGACACCTTGTACATTAAACATATGTTTTATGTTAGAACTCTTGACAAGACTATATTGTTATTACTACTTGAACAGTATTTCCTCCTTGGTCTTGCCTTGCAAGTCCTACCTTGCTTTCTTGTTCCATATATACACAGGAATAATACCATCATAAGAGGGAAGGAGGAGAAAATTCTTAGGTGAGTATGCCGGGGCTTAAGGACTCTACTCCTTCATAAACTCATCAACTGCAGCTATCCTTAAGCATGGTAGCAGGATTTTCCTCTATATATCCATAAAGGAGAAATCAGTCATGTGGTTATTTATTTTCAACTGTAGAGTGGCTTGCTTGCCACACTTTTTTTCCCAAGAAAGGATGACAGATATTTCTAAATAGTATTACATAAGTGTATCAGTTAGACCTCTTTTAATTCCTGATTTGAGTTTTTATATATAGTTTGTTTTGAAACCAATGCATGCTGCAGGCAGGTAAAAACAGCAATGGCCCTTAGAATTACCATATCTAAAAGTAGAATGGGTGACAGTTTCAAAATTGATAATTGAGGTATCGTATACTGTTTTGATGGGGCTCCTGCTTGATTCTTTTTTCATTGGTCAACTCTCAAACACTGAAGTGAATTGAGTGTATTATTGTACTGAAAGAGTTCACAGCTTACTTTCACAGTTGTAGCTTCCTATAAAGCAAAAACCTTTTACTTAAAGGTGGTAAAAAAACTGCAAAGTTGTAGATTTAGAGCTAAAACAGGAAAAAGTTCATGTAGCAGGGGTAGTTTTTATATAGATCTGTACATGACATCAAGATAAGATTTTTACATTAAAATTGGTCACTTAACTGATATGTACTAATTGCATTGCCTCACAGTAATGAACATCCACAGATGAAACTACTCTGAGAAAAAATGATGATCCTTCATCTTGGATTTCTGGGAATCACAGTAATTTCTGAAGCTACAAGCCTGATTTACAATTACAAGCAGACACATCATCTTCTGCTTTATATGCATGGACTTCATTTGTTAGTCATATGGCCCACAACCTGAGTCACTGAGTCTCAGGCTTCCCTAGAAGAGGGAAGAAGTATCATACCATGTTGTGCAAAAATCACAGTGGTAAGTACAAGCTGCCCTGAGTGTCAGTATTTTTAAAACCCCAGTATGTTGTGATTAGTTATTTGTAATAGTCTTCCACATTTACCTTTGGGGAAAAATGTACAAAATCTTTTGTCAGATGGCAATTCAGAGAAGACTCTTAAGATGTAAGGCACTGTTCCCTCTCAAGGCAAGGTTGGTTAAAGTTAGATCAGGTTGTTCAAGGTCACATCTAGTAAAGCATGGCAATTTGTTTAAACAAAGTTATGATTTGAGTAGGAGATTAAATGATCTCCTCCATCTTAAATGTTAAAGTAGGGGGGATGGTTACAGAATAAATGTTGCTTACAAAAACTATTTTACTGTTTTTTACATGGAAATTTCATTACTTTAAAAATTATTTAAAGTTTGGTGTTATCCAACTTAAAAGACTTTCTATGAAACTTGCTAGCAGAAATCATCCATTTCCTTTTCTGATCCTTGACTGATGGCTGCAGTGCTTTTAGAAGGAATAAGACTGATCAAAGATAGGAACTGACATTAATCCTTAAAGAACTTCATAGAATGATGACAGTGGTAAAAAAATCCATGAAGGCTTGTAGGTTTCAGAAATTAGTTGCTTGGTGTCTCTTACATTTCAGTGTTTTGTCTTAACTCAGATACTTCCCAGTTTGCTCATGCTGAAAATTATGTTTCCAAGACCCTCTTTCCAAGATGGAATTTCTTGTATTTAACCCCCCTGCCCCCCCAAATCCCCAAACTTGAGGCTCTTGGCCTGTTTCTTAAAACAGTAACGTTTTCCTTCCTCCAGAGGATATCAAAACATGTGAGTTAAGAAATTCAAATCCATAATAGAATTTTTTGTTGTTGCAGATTTGTTAAAAAATAAATTGAGAACCAGCTTGTTAGATAACTTACTGTTTCAAATGTTTTTTAAGTGGCTATTAAATCACAATACCATAGCACTTCTCAGATTTCCAAACTTTATTCTCTCCTAGATAACTTTAAGACATCTTGCCATCTGTGGATAGTTTCTTTTGATAAAGTGAAGGGAAGCTGTTAGAAGCTTGGAGAACCAGTGCTGGCACAATCAATGTGTCACTGTATTTGGGAAAGGCATGATTCATGGTATGATAACATACAGTGCAGCACTTTCCCAGTCTACTTTCACAGCTGTCTTCTCCCAGTGATTCTTCCAGAGTCATCGTTCTTGAAAACAGCTGTTTTCATTTATGGTTGAAAACAGGTCTTTGAGCAGTGTAAACACTTTGACTCCCTCTGAGGGATTTCTGATTAAGGGCATGAAATGTTCAGAATGGTATTAGCTCTTTAGCAGTAAAAGCATTCATTTTTAAAATTTAAATGGTGATAAGCAGGAAGTGTGTATTGTATCTTTTATTCTGGAAGTAGTTAAGGATGGTTTGGAGCAGTAGGTTATGATGACCTTTTTTCAGGTACAGTTTAAAAAGTTGAGAGATTGAGTACAGCTTCTTTCAAACCTGTCTCTTGAAATCAGGCGCAGGTATTACAAAACTCTCCACCAACGTAGAATTAAGTCTCTCCTGGGAATTGTCCAAATGTATCACCTGCACAGTGACTGATGCAGTTCTTCATACATTATTTGATCCTAAGAGTGCCAAGATGAGAAAGAAAAAATACTTCAGACAATGGTAAAAAATCATGCAATGTTTAAAAGTGACTTTATATGTCACTTTTACAAGTGACTTTCACTTTGTTAAACAAACCAGCTATATGAGCCACAAGCTATATTTTAAAACATTTACAGACAAAAACCTAAATAAGGCAATAGCCTGCTACCCTGGCTCATAAATGAGGTTCTCCAGTGATAGTCACCAATGATATGTAGTTAAGAGAAGCCTTTGGCACACTTAGACTTAATATTGCCATGCTGCGTTCAGATTGCAGATTCACTAAGAAGATACTGCCCTCTTTACCAGGGGAACTGCTGAATTGATACTTTATTCCCTCACCTAGTTCTGCCAAAATGAACTGACAAGATCTTCTTTTGCTAGTTCCTTAATCCTTTTCATGAATCACTCAAATAACAGTTTTGAGGAATAGAATGATTTAAAGATGTTAACTTCCACTGAAATAACTGGCTTCAGAAGGTGATGTCTGTCCATAGTTTTAAGAACAACTTATTTTGGTTTGTCTTGAGTCAACCAATTAAACCAAAAGGAAGTTAATGGAACTGAGGTGTGTATGGGAGGGAAAAGGAAAAGTGTTAGAAGCACTAAATCGGTGAGATGCAGCTTTTTTTATTTTCCGTATTCATAAGAAGGTATGTAGAGAGTTTTTGTCAGCTTCAATTTGTGTAGCAGATAAGAAGTAGCATCTGGAAATGGGAGATGAGTTTCTTGTACTCCAAAAGATATTTCAAAATACCTAACAAAATTCTTCAGATGGATATAACTGAAATATAGGGCTCTGAGACATGGGACATTTAAGCTGCCTTTGAGATGCAGAATGACATTTCTGGTTAACTCCTAAGAACCAGAAGAGTATGTACTAACACTTAGCAGTGATTACCATGTTAGAGGGGATGTTTTAAGTTTTTGTGGCTGTTGCTTCTGAACCATTTGCTTAATAATTAGCAGAGGGGAAGAAAACAACCACCAATACCATCTTTAAAGGGTCTTGGAGCCAAAGATCACTGACCATCACCATACAATAATAATGAAAGGAAATAGTTAACTAGTTAACTTCTCTCTGGCTAGTGTTCAAAGTGAATATATTAATGTATTTTGGCTGCAGTAGACTCTTGGCAACACAGAGACCTATATGCAAAAGCTCTGCAGCAATAACAATTCCTCTATATATAAACTTCTCAATTACAGTAAGATGATTGAACAGCTTTCAGTTATTAAAGAACAGGTCATAAGGAAACCTTTAAAACAAACTTCCTTGATAAATGCAAATACTGAAAAGAGTGATAAGAAATAACTAAGATGGTAAAGTGTATTTTATGTCCTATCTCAAAATGCTGCCTTTTGCACGTTAACAGAAATGGTTGAGCATCTTTGGGTGTCACATCCATCTAGGGGGGAAAAAAGGTTGTGGCAAGGTGTGGTATACTCTAAAGGCCTCAACTTTTAACTGAAAATTCCACGGACATAAGATGTTAAGGTCAGGTCAGTAACTAATCTGGGAATGTCAATGAGAAGTCCAAGGAGCCATACTAAGAGATAACCCTGATAGCATCATAATCAGTCTACATGCAATGCATCATCTGCAGCTGAAAAGGGAGACTTTAATTTCTGACCTTGTAAAAAAACATCAGGTTTGCTTAATGCAGAAACAGGTAGTGTCAGTTTGAAATACATGCAAGTATAGTGCAACCTTAACTATTCCCACCAGTCTCCAGCATAAAAAGAGCGTCCTTTCTAGGGGAGTAGTGAGGCCTGCACACTTGCAGCTTATCTTACCTTTTTTGATACTGAAGATTTCACTTTCCTAAAAGCTTCTTCAAAGTGTTTACGGGAGATCTTGATTTCTCCTTAAAGAACAAAGCATAATAAATTAATAAAATTGCAGGCAAGTGACAATCAAATGATTGTTGCATGTATTTCAAGGCAGCATTCATGAAACCTAACTAACTGCATGTGCTAGTCAGTTGGATGAGATCTGATTCAGTAGTGTTAGGAACACCTGAACTCTTGTATTTTATGTAGCGTCCTGTCTATGATCTTTGGGAAGATCTTAATCCCTCTATCCCTTGCACCTTAAGCCAAGGAATACTTACTTGTTTCTGAAAGTTATTTTAGGTATTAGTGTTTCCACCAGCAGATTGAGAATTTCAAAGATGCCAAGTTAACTGCAGCTTACATCAAATCCAGTTAGAATTCAAGTCCCTTGACCCTTCTGGAAGTGAATGCCTCTAATCTTGCTGCCTCCAGTTCTGGCCTTCATTTTCTATACATATTTAATATTAAGCTTCCCTACAGAGTATTATTTAGTAAGTACCTAGAAAACATTTTGTTACCATTCTAATTCTACTGCAGGATGCTCAATTCCTAAACAAGTGACTTCATATCATTGCCTTGTCCAGCATTACCCAGACATGATGAAAGCTTTCACTTTTACAACTCCCTCTATTTAAGTTTATGCAAATTGCCTTTTTAACCTTAATGCAGCTATCCACAGTAATTATTCCTAATCCCAACCTTTTGAACAGGTTTTTTTTAGTATGCTAAAATGTAAGCATACCTCAAATAAATCATCGATACCTTTGCTCTCACAAAGAAGTGCCTGGTTTAATCTAGACTTAAGAATCCCAAGATACCAATCCTATACAGATTCATTACAATGCTAACATTATGCACAGGTATCAGATAAGATAGAGGTACAAAAATTATGTCTTTAGAGTCAATTTGGTGCATTTTTTAAAATGTATTTCATTAAGACACTTTTTCTTCCACAGATACGTATTGCCACTACCTTTGCATACATCTTTGTAAGGTGAAATGGGATGTGCTGACATGAAAAAACTGTTAAGATTCCTCATTAATATATCTGATGTCTGAGTTTAACAAAAATCTGCTGATACAGCAAAAGACTACATAGCAGATAGAAGGCACTAAATTAAAGATGAGAACTTGTTTAAGGTATAAAACAGAACAGCAAATAGTCTACAATTATTATTACCTGCTTTAAAGTAAAGATGAAGGTTAAAGTTCACTGAACTAAACATACAACCTTGCTGCTCTCTCATCTCAATTCTCTGAAGCTCTTATTCAAGATTCCCATTACCATATAAAGTTATACCAGTATAAATGAAGATGTAAATTTAAAATATGAGCATTTTAACTTATTTCCTCAAGGAAACACTACTTGTAGTAAGAAAAAAAAAAAGAGTTCAATTTGGGTCTTTCACAGAAACCAAATTAAGATTGAGTCAGATTTTTTTTTTCTATTTACGTAGGTAAGTTAAGAATAGCTGGTTCCCTTTCCTCTTAATTTGAAAGTATCAAACAAGGACCAGATCTTGCTTTTCAAATTCAACCACAAAGTCTTTAATTAATCTCACTTGTTAAACCATACTCGCTTTTAACTGCTGTAACAAGAAGTCTCATAGACTCTGTGATTAAGAAGATCAGCTTTACAGACTATGCAGGTGCTATGGGGTCACTGGCTATCTCTTAAAAAAATAAAAAAAAATCCCAAAAGGGACACTCAGGTATAAGGTCATAGTTTAGAAGGTCAATGAAATCTCTGCATTTGTCTTTGCAGCTGAAAGTGTCAAGAGAGTCTCATACCCTATACATTCTTTGTAACTGGATCTATTTGAAATAAATATACAGGAAGTATTAAACTAAAATAGGTCAGTTGAGATGTTAACAGTAAGTCACCAAGACCAGATGGTGTTCACCCAAAGGTTCTGAAGGAACTTGTTTATGAGACCACAGAACTGCTAGTTAAATCATGTAACTTGTTACACCCACCAAAGGACTGGGAACTCCAAAGAATTGTAGAAAAGATTCTTTGGTGGACTGAAAGCTGATTAAAGGATATAAAATAGAGCTTAAGGCTTAATGGTCAGTTTTCAGGATTGGGCACAGGCAGCAGTAGGGTCCCACTCTGGCATCAGTGCTGAAATCTGTTTTATGCAGCATCTTCATCAGTAGTTTGAAAACAGGACCCAGAAGTGGAAACTCCAAGTTTGCAAATGATATTGAACTCTTCTGGGCAGTCAAATGCTGGGCCAATAATGAGGAACTCCAGAGGGACCTCATAAAACTGAAAGTCTGCCCAATCTTTATTAAGATTCCCCCTTCTTCCCCCAGACAAACTGCAATATCTGGCAACTCCCAGACTGCAGTGACTAACATAATCAGCTCTCCTAGGACTGTTCAAGTTGGAAGTAGAATTTGTGGATTCCTATAAGAAATATCACAAAAAGGATATCTTTCCATTTCACTATAAAAAAGTCCCTTCAAGCAAACCACTGTTGAGTGTTAAGAAAAACACACCCCTGAATTTATTCCAGAGGGAGAACACCAGGTATAACAAGGAAGTTGCAACAGAGTTTCTACAGAATAGAAAGGAGCAGGACTGATCTCAGCCAGCTGATTCCAAAGCGACTGATGAAGACACAAAGCACACATCTACAGTCATGTACAGAGCATAGGAAGGCAGTCAGTTGTGCTTGTCCTGTGGTAACACTGAAAGGTGAAATTCCCCAGTCTGTGTACACACACTACCCTTTTGAAGATATAAATGAACAAGGTCTCAAATCAGAAACCACCTCATACACTTTCATACCAGCCAGGGCTGACATCTTGGAAATCTAAACCCAAGGACATCACAAACAAGCAGCTGCTATAAACATGCCAATCAAGCTATGCATATATTATGGACTTGCTGGCTGCCAACACATCCATATAAGAAGTGCTCAGGCTGCAGTCCTAAATGTGAAGGCTGAATTCAAGTGATGAGCATCTTTGAATAGAGCCTGGTCTATTCTGGGTAATTATAAAAACAAACAGGATAAATTCAGAAATTTCCATCTCAAATCAAGAGCTTTCTCCATCTACAGCAAACAAAATGGGTAACCAAGTCATACAACAGTGAAGGTTTTTATAGTTTGTTTCTCCATCCCCGGCCCCAATGAACATGCTAGTTCCCTCAAAACAAGAAATACAAACATTCTGTTCTGTTAACCTACTGTTAAAAAACAGATGGGACTAGTTATGTACTAGATCAAAAAGAATGATTCAAAGCCATTAAAATTCCAGCGTGGTTCTCGGAAATCAGAGGCATAATGAAAGCCTAATATCTTTTCCAAGGACATCATCTGAAAAGTCACAATTCCATCTTAGCTTTGCGTTTTGACTTAAGGGTAGAATAACAGAATTACTGGAAAAAGTCTAGATACACACACATTTTACATAAGAGTTTCAATTTCCAATTATGTTTTCTTATCTGCACAGAAAAAAAGAATAATTTAAAAAACAGGAAAATACAACTTAAAAGTGCAGAGAGATATGGAAAGGGCAGACATTGTACTTGAAACAATTTATAACTCCCTGTTAAAGTCCTGCCAAGAGCCACTGATAAGCTAAACACCTAAGATAAAAAATGGCACTCAGATTTTCCTAGTGCCATTACTACTAGGTGCATGGATTCAGTTACACAGTACAATTTTGCACCAAAGGTATGTGATCAGTATGTGTGCAGTTACAACTGCACTCATATCTGCAAATAAGTCAGTATAATTAGTCTTTGACAGTGATGTGGAAATCTGGCAAAGACATTCAGTCTAGTACATAAACTGTCAGTTTATACTACCATTTAACATAAACTTTTCTTTAAGGTTACAAGGTTCAATTCTTTTAGAAAAAAATTTTATGCTGAACCTCCAGCATAACCATTTTTTCCTGTACTCTCCCCTACGTATACTTCAAATATGCTTATGTGTTCTTGAAACAAATCTGACTTAATTTTTGTTTGGCTTAGAAGTCATCAATCATTTACATACAGCATGTACACCTTTATGCTTGTCTTGCACTACCTTAAATACTTTACATTCCATTTATCTTCTCACTGTTCAGTTAAGGTTTTTGTAGAGCTTTCTTACCTTTCTTGCTTTGAGTATTCCACAGGGCCATTTCCTGTCTCAAGGCGCAAATTGAAGCCTCACGCACTAGAGCGGAAAGGTCTGCCCCTCTACAGATACAAACAGAATAGGTTATTTTAGGATAAATTTCTCTTGTCTTTAGCTAATGGCATATAGAAAGGCAAGAAACTATAAATGATGGTAAGAGGCTGGTTGTGCTGTCATAAAGGTTCATCTTAAGAACATTGGAAAGAGGTCCGAGGACAACCCACTGCTGCAATGTTCATTATGGAGTAACGTCCTCCAGATTTTAGCCACAGATTAAAATCAAATAAATGAGAGGCAAGGGGAGAGGCAAAAACCCCACCCAGCATCCTTAAAAATGCCAAAAGATTGATTAATATTGTGCTACTTGGTAGGAACTTGATTTTTTTTTTTAATCAGTCTTATGAAAGATTCAAATGGAATCACCCATTATTACAAAAGAGAGCTGCTTGCTCAAAGCTGCATCAACAGTTAACATCCTCTTAAAATAATAGTATCCACAGAACATGGTCAGATCAGTCTTTCTAAATATTTGTTTTCAGTTTCCAGCTGTTGAACTTTTCACAAGCCTTCAAAATGGTACAAGTCATTGAACCAAAGAAAATTTTCACAATTAACTCCCTATGTTTCATTTTGGGGTGCCAGGAATACTGCTGTATTTAAAACACAAAACCATACCCCACCCACCCACCCAAAAAAGCCCACAAAAACCCACCCCACGAACAAAAAACCCCCAAACCCAAAACCCAAACAAACCCAAACAAACAATCCCCCCCCCCCCCAAAAACCAGGGAGGGAAAGGGGCAAAGAAAAAGTACTCATCTTTCCCAAATATGAAACAATGACAAAATAAATATCATTATTGGTGATAGCTTCCATTTCTAAGATTCAAAAGCAATATTGTGACAAGCAGCATGTCATAAACTTTATCTTTTGTGAACTTCAGAAAATCATTAACTCTTAATAAATCATTTAATAGATTAAAGCTTTTTGAAGTTTTGTACAACACAATTCCAAATTATTCTGACAGATATGGCCATCAAGCTTTCCTAAAAAAAAAACAAAAAAAACCCAAAAAACCACACACCTCGGTATTCCCAAAGCACAAGTTGAAATAGGCCCTCATTACTTTGTCAAACACACTGCTTTCAACTGTGTGACAGAACAAGTTGGTTATGGTTGTTTAACCAATTTGCTTTCATCATCGTTGTATATGGGTCCACAACTTAAAGAGGGCTCTTTTATCCTCAGTGTATGCAAGAATTGTAAAATAAAACCACGCAAAGCCAAGAGGCCTCTACTGATTACATGAAGAGGACTATTCCAGATGAAAGAGACTTTAGCATATTTGCCCTATATTCCTACCAACTCCTTGGAAAAAAACACAAGTGAAAGCAAGAAAAATAGCATAAGGGAAAAGGCTTATAAACCCTGAAAGTTAAGAGATCCTCTTGATAATCACAACATAACACACATTATCACACATCAGAAGACTGTTGGTACAGCACATCAAATATATTCAAGTCAAAACTAGAAGCTACTCACGTATAACAATCACAATGTTGACTGTAAGCAATTTCTTCAAGGCTTACATCAATATCTAGTGGAGGCCGGGTGCCGTCCTAAAGGAGTTGAGATAATAAAAAGAGAAAGATAAGAAAAGTTGTGGGGGTTTTTTGTTTTTTGTTTGGTTGGGGTTTTTGTTTGGTTGGTTTTTGTGGGGTTTTTTTTGTTTGTTTGTTTGGTTTTTTTACACATGCCATCCCCAAAGTGATTAAGTTTCATCAATCAGGAATCTTATAGGGGTCTGACAAATTCCCTGAAATATCCACAAATATTAACATTTTTAATCTCAAACCGGCAAGAAGGACAACCTGCCTTAAAAACATTTAATTATGAAATAATAAGTAATGCTAAATTTTAGCTTCCCATCAACAGATTAGATTTTCTCTAACAAAATGATGGCCAGCCTGTCACAGGGCAATGTAAGGCTGACACTGTTCCATATGTGGACATGCCTTAAGTAGCTGGTTACATCAACAGCATTGTTTAGCTGAACTTCCTCTAGTTTTACTATGTGTTGAAATCAAATAGCTAAGCAATAAGCATGTAGATTTAGTCTTATCTCACCTTGAAGACTGAATTAATTATATATCTTTTATGTTCTAGACATACATTTTCAAACTTAAAAAGTTTTCCATTCTGGATTTCATAAAAGTTTACATATACTGTAGATACTCCTGTAGACTTTTTGACACTACTCTTCCATATTATTACTGCTTCCTCCACAAGATCCCAGAAGTGGTTTCTTTTGTTATTATTTTTACATCTCCAACAGCAAAAAATATTAAATGCTATAAATTATATTTGAAACTAGCCCACAAAATTTTCAAGCACTGTAAGCATGGAGATCTCCCTATTACCCTTAGACAACAGTAAAGTAGTATCATGGTAGTACAGAGATTCTAGATGTCTATAGTATCAAACAATATCTGAGTTTAGACATGAAAGGGCATTTTTTTGGTACAATTGATGTATTTCTGCCAGAAACTCATTTGACAGAAAAGTACAAATTCTTATAATTCTTTTCTGACTTCTTCAGGTGAACTAACATACCACGTATCTACAACACCTTCAAAAGAAAAAAAAAAAACGTATAGTAACTGGCAAGTTAAAACCCTTGACTACTTAACAGACAGTAGAATAATCAAGGACTAGGCAGAGTAAGGGAGCAATCTTGGATGAATCTTTGGTAGAATACCAGTTAGAAAGGGGAAAAAAAACAAAACAAAACAAAACAAACCAACCAAAACCAAAAACCAACAAAAAGACAAAGGAACAGCCTGATTTTGAAACATCTTGAAAGGAGAGACTTCAACCTGGAAACAAGGAAGCCTCATACAATTTCATATGGGATATTTTAGTAATTGTTGTACAAGACTGCAAGCCAGAGAGACACCTTCTCTGCTAAAAATAAATGTTTTACCTATTGCTTTGAGTAGCAACATATGTTAGCCATTTTTTGAGTGGGATGATCCGCCTGCTCTGGAGACCAGCTCAGCAGTATGTGCACCAGAGAAGCTCGATACAGCTTGCAGGAATGTAAGTACACTAGTAACTTAAACAGGTGAAGACATGCTTCTCTTACATAATTAATATGCAATTTGAAAATGACTGATTTGTACAAGTTAACTGAAATAAAACCCTTTCACAACAAGCCTTCAACCTACGTTCAAGCTGTCTGTCTTCCTTACAACATATTCCTCCCCCTAACTCCCTTTTCTACTCCTCATGCTGCCTTTGTAAGCATCCATGTTTTCCCTTAGCAACGATTCGCAGTTTCTACGTCTTGTACATGTATTCCTTGGAGATTTCTGGGAACGCATACCATCACCCAGAAGCCACCCACATCTGCACCAAACATTTTGTTTTATCTAGCCCTGAGCACATATTTAAGCAAGTGTTGCTGTACACAGATTTTTCAAATTTCCTTACCTAGAATGCATGGATGAAGTCTGACAAAAAAAAAAAAAAGGCATTTCAGTTAATTTAACATATTTTCTTCTCTCCATATTCCAAGTTCTTCTTGCAGATAACTCCTATACATTTTTAAAGAAAGTAACAACCTATTTCTTGTTCTTAGCACTAGAAACAAATCTTTGCCTAGCTTTATGAGAACTCTGGTGACTGCAGAAGTAGTGAGAACAGCACCAGCCTCCTCATGGAATGAACATGGAAACACGCAAGGAAAAGACTCATTCAGAGAATGTTTGTATCTCATTTCTGCTGGCCTCTTAATTAAGAGCTGAGAAAAAAAAAATCCATTAAAGACTTAACACCTCATTCACTACAAAGATTTGTAACCAAAATATTAAGACTAGTTTGAATTAAGTATGCACGGAAGTATCTGGCATTCCAAAAATAACATGCCCTGATAACTAAGGACAGGATCCACAGGAACCAAGCTGGTAAACACTATGCAATGCATTGCTTACATCACAAGACGACCCATAATCAGGTAAGGGCACAGCAAAGATGGTTTGTCAGGAGAAGGCAAATACACTCTGATAACAGGATAATGACAAGGTTAGCACATCCCATGTGCCACTCCTCTTGGTGTTATCCCAACAGGAAGATAAGACTGTAGCCACAAACATTCCCAGAAGGAGGTAGTAAAGACACTTTTCAGCAACCTCGCCCAAGATTTATGGCAGCTGAAGTAAGCATGATTCTGAACTGTTTGATTCTTAAAGGGAATCCAGAAAACAGTTCTCTCTAACAACCAGTTTGTCATTGCCAGTCAAGGGGAAGCCAAGAGATGAAATGAGGCCTCAACACAGAGTTCCTTATTCTCAGTGTTGAACACAAGTGATCCTGGCCCTACCACTTGGATGCATGCATCTGGGTGACTATATGTGGCTGTGACAAGCATTAGCAAGTGAAATCTATGACAGTGTGAGACAAATCAGTGTTTAATACCACCTTCCCCTCCCATGAAGTCTTGCACCAAGCTTTGCTGCACTATTTTCCTACACCACTAATTACAGTGAGAGCATCTGAGACAGTTACAAATCTCCAAAGATTTTCTGGCAAAAATTAGGTAGAGCAAGGCTCAACACCTGTACATTAAAAAACAGAGCAGATGTAAACTCTGTACCAGAATCCTTCTCTGATTAGACAGTCACTAGACTAGACCCTTACTACCCACTTCTTCCAGAAGAACAAGGTTGGTTGTATTAAGTCAGAACAATCATATAAGCCCAATTTTTAAAGAACACTTTGAGTTATCTTTAAAAATAAATTTGGTAAAATAAAAGCCATAATTCCTTACAGTATGTTTGAAAAATTACTCATGGATGTAACACTCAAATTCCCTCTAGGTCTTTCAAACAGCAACCATCTTTAAGAACAGGGTTGTAAAAAGTTTTAACTATTTTTATAAAACTTAGAAACAATAAACTGTTCTACTGCTAATAGCAAATGGGGGCATACTTACTTTTTTTCCTCCATGAAGTAATGCATAGAACAAGTGAAGGAAAGTCTACCATCCTGAATTTGTAATAAGTCTGACTTTTGAACAGTCATTTTGGCATGAAGGAACATGCTTGAATGAGTTCTCACTTTCTGAATTCTCCTATGGATTAACTATTGTGTACACCACAACTTTATGCTTATGCAAGTCTGAATTATCTTTTTACAAATTTGCTAAATAATTTTTGCCACACTTTCCATAATACAGTGCTACCTTTTCTCTATAGTGAAGACCTGGTCTCCTTTGCAGCTCAAAAAAAAAATAATCTGATAGAACACCTGCTCTTAACAATCACTGTTGATCTACTAGAAAAAGTAGGAAATATCTGAGTAATTCATAATGCTTTGTATGTTCTTTTTTTAAGGCCTTGGTTACTACTGTACCGTACTTAAGAGAAATACTCAAATAGAATTCTATAATCCAAATCTCTGAAGTGGCAGAATGTGCCATTAACCACAGGGAGGACCCATGAAGGCAGGTATTTTACATTTTCACATTTACTTTGACCTACAACCTCTATCATCACAAGCTTCCTTTAATCCTAAAGGCAATTAAGTGTCACAATTACTGTTGAGCAAATACAGCTGGAGATTGTGAATCATTTTGGTGAATGTGTGGACCTCCCCCCCCAAAAAGCTTACAAACCACTTCGAGGCCCATTACTCACACAGATAGGAATCTTTTAATTAAATCTGTTCAAACTGTGACTGTAAAGGCAGCAGCTTCTATGTTTAACAGGTTTGCTTCACTCGAGATCTATCAAGCCCTTGCAGTCTCAGAGCAAATTTAACAGCAAATGTGGCTGACGGTTTATTTTTATGACCTTATGTAATATCTGAAAGTGTTTCATGAGACAGGATTATGCAATTCTCTGTAAAATTTAATTTATATTAAATCATTCCACTGAGCTTCAAGATAAGGATTTATTTCTAAATACTCACTTTGGTGATGGTCTTTAAAATAGCAAGTCGATCTTCAGGTGGTGGCAAACCCACAAACAGCGTTTTATCCAGTCTACCAGGACGCAGGATAGCTGGGTCAATGATATCTTAGGGAGGGGAGAAAAAAAAAAAAGAAAAAAAGAAAAAATTATCCTGAAATGAGATACACCCTTAGAAAAGCGTACACAGAAGAAGGAATACGTGCATACTTGTACCAAGATTCAAAGAAGCATTTGTGCCATGATATGAAGCTCTGAGCATTAAAATAGCTGACTGAAATAGTTTCATCTCTGTCAGGTAGGAGCCTCTATTACCCAGTACAGTTAAGCCACATCTGCTCAAAGATGGCTCATAAATACTAGTTTCATCTCTTCAAAAATGAAGACAACTATCTTTAGCAATACAGTACTAGAACATTTTTACTGTCATACCTAGCATGGTCAAGTGAGGAATTCCACATTAATTCATAACAAAGGAAAAAAATGCTTCTAGTTTGTTCTGTTGGAAGGAACTCTACCCATATTAACTGTTGCAAATCTGCTTGAAAGGCACAGTGATAAATTAAGAATAACAAGTACACAGGGCCAATCATAAGCATCAATATCTAAACAATTTCACTGGACATTTGCATTTCTACTACCTATTAATTTTCTGAATAGTAAAATAGGAAACCCATGAAACCACAAAATGCAGCTGCAAAGTACAGAATTTGTCTCCCAGGAAGAACTACAGACTCCAAATTTTTTTACGTGTGGAGAACTAAGAAACCAAAAATCATCGCAAACATTTCTAGAAAACCATTCAAAGCTTAAATGTAATAGAAATGTCTAGCAGCCTTTTAGCACTACAGGCTTCAATACTGAACTTCCACAAACAGTAAGTCAGGATATAAATACTAAGGAATATTGGTATTAACAAGAGATACAAAGAGGGCATATAACCTGGGAAAGACCTCAATTCCTGTCTGTATTTCAGCAGAAACTGCCTGGATTATGTTTCCAAATGCTTCTTGATGCCCCATTTCCCCATCTACCCAAACCAGTGACAGTATTGCTCTATTTCACTAAGGAATTCTTTTGAGTCATCATCTCTGGAAGTATTTAAAAGACATATAGACGTGGCACTTAGGGACATGGTTTAATGGTGGCCTTGGCAGTGTTAGGTAAGGGTTGGAATTGATCTTAAAGATCTTTTCCAACCTAAATGATTCTATGAAATCCTACATACTACAGTAATGTGAACAGCAAAGTCACAAAAGCACCCACAGAAGATACAAAGAAAACTGTACTTTTTTGAAGCCTGTAAGTTATATAGATGTGTTAAGCAGCTATTGCAAGCAATCCAAAAATAACAGTTCAAAGTTACACCTAAGTCTTAAGCTGGAAACTATCAAGGACTCTAAATGAAGCTGTAAACACCCCTACAATCATTACATCCTCCTCACAAAATGTAGCTAGCAGACAAACTACATGCATATTAAAGGTGAAGAACTGAGAAAAGTTAAATGGTTAATCCCTACTGTACAGACGTTTAAAAGAAAAGAAAACAAAACAAAAAACCCACCACCCAAACCCCAGAACAGTGGCACGGAAGCACAGCTATCCCTTTTTTGCAAATGAAAAAAGTTTGTTTAACTCTGTCACGACTCCAACTACCCAATCCTATCACAAGGTAGTCTTGATTCACTTTTTAAAGATGTGCATAGTTTTGTTCAAGTTTCTCTCACCTCAAGGTGTCACACTCAAGGACAAAAAGTAGAATGAGATGCATACATTAAAAATCGCTCCACTGTCTTTTTCTTGGACAAAAGCAAATTTTTTTCCCCAAGATACAGCAGTCATGGCCAGAGGCATCTATGTAGGCAAAAATCAGCTATTGCGAATGCAACAAGAATGGTGAGAAAAAAAGGAAGAACTTGATGTATTAATTTAATCCAGAGCAGATGAAACAAAAGTTAAACAGAATCCCTGCCATGGCAGGCCCAGACGAAAACATCTTTCTTATATGTGTGTGCATAGTGTCATAGGGCTATATGATACTTTATCTTGCTTTTGGCACAAGTGCACTCTCCTGTTTTTGTGTCTCTGTGGACAGAAGTCTTGCCACATTATTAAGATGAGATGACAAAGTTCACTCAACAGATCAATTACAAACATCAAAACAAATACTCTCAACAGGGATTGCATTAGAACACCATGCACTTGATAACTTCCCCATTCTAAAGCTTCAAAAGCTCTTTAAAAATACTAAGCTTGATATGGAAAATACTGTTTCCATTTTGCATGCTGAGAACACGGCACTTGCCACGCTATCTGTCCAATGATACAAAGTTAGTGATACAGTCTAAAGATGCATTCATCTGTTTGTACGTAAACGATTACATTGCCCACATTCAAAGAGTTACCACAACTTGTACTAATTCAATAAGCTGCAGTGATGGTGGTTTACAATGAGAGGACCATACCAAAGTTTAATGCACAGATCTACGCTCCCCATCTCCTTAAGAGTCAATTCACTTCACTCTGCTGATTCAAACCTGGATGAGCCTGAAGTTCTTGAAAATCCAAGTCACATAACATGGAAAATTAGTATTTACTCATTGGTCAAACTCACTCATTAGATGCACTTCATATCTGTTTAAAAGAATTGAATAATGCTCCCCTTTCAGGAATTTCAAAGCATTCCATCCTGATAAATCATAATGTTCTCTCCATATCTATTATCTCAAAACTTATCTAAACAGAGTCAACTAATTTTAGCTACATTTAACATTTTAATGAAATTAAGGTAGTTATCATAGTAACCTCTTTCAAAGCCTATCATTACCTCTGAAGTTTGAAAGTGAAACATGGAAACATGATAACACAGAGCATTTCTTTTCCAAGCAGTTGTCTCACAGAGAGAATATACTTCTATTAAAAGAAATGTCTCGTTAATAAATTTCTGCCTTGGCTTTCTGATGTAGTCAATGGTGTTGACTATGTCGTTAGAAGACAGTAGTACCATTTTCCAAATAATTTGGCAAAATTACATATTAAGACATTTAAAGTACATCCATTCCTTGCTATGTTTTTAAAGGTTAAAACAGGCACTAGCCTCTAGAGAATTATGTAATATTTCAGTTTGCTACACTGCTCTCCAAACTACAAAATTCTATCCTCTTCATTAAATTCCATTGAAAGTATCTTTACATGAATCTCTATAATGTGACATTCTATTGTCCTATAATAAAATCTATTAGTCTCACACTAATTTCCAGTTGATTATTCATGTCTTATCTCAACTGTACAGGAGTCAACAATGTTTATGAAAGTTCGGTGCATACCAGCAACAACAACTATTGTGCTGAGTCCATCAAACTTCTCCTATACTCACTACAGCTTTTTTAAATTATATTTGAAGCATACAAGATCAAGGCCCCCACATTTGTGACGCTCTGGAACAAAGGCTCAGAAGCCCTAAAAGGTGAACGCTGTCCAGATGAACACTGCAGTTAACAACTTTGCTCCCTACACAACAAATGAACTCACTAAAGTTACTGTAAGAGATAGATAACATTCAAGGGCTGGTGAAATGCAGAAATGTAATTTGTGTGAATTAGAACTATCATGAAAGAAATTGTTCTATGCCTCACATATTAGGTGCTTTTTTTAGATCTTATCTTGCCTTTAATTCAGCAACATGTATAAACAGGTATAAACATAACAAACAAAAAACACAAACCAAAACTGTAACTATTGTCAGAGACTGAAGATTATTTTTTTACTGTTTCAAAACATGTTGTTCAGGTGAATAGCTCTACAAAACTAACATAAACTTGCTAAAGAAAAATAGAACTCACTGAAACTAGGACCATGCTCTAAGATAACAGAATTTTAAAAAGCTAGGAAAAAACCCCATGAATAAAAACAAAGACATCATCACAGTTTATGTCAACCTTAAATCACTATCAGTTTGTAGTGTTTCACTGATTTCTTGTCTGTTTCCTCGGGTTACATACAGTTCCTTAGATCCCATAGAAAATGCTGCTGATGCCTTGGTCAGTATTTCTCTAAAGAGTTTATGAATGTTCACAGCCTGGGGAAGTAAGACGAGAGCAGAAAGCAGCAGTATCCAATACTGAAACTCACACTGGTAACTAGAAAATTGTGGGAAATTACAGACCTTAGTTAACAGTAGTGCTTGATGGTTTTGTAAGTATTTAGTCTTGGATTTAGGGAAGGAAGTAGACTGAAAAATAATATAATTATTCTGACCCCTAAAGTTTCTAGCAGGACATGACCCTTCTGCCTCTGCCCCCCCCCCCGCCCCGTCTCTTTTTAATGACATTGAGTGCTTTAAAAGTTTAATCCTTTTCAGACAAAGTTTGACATTGGTTCTGCATTTAGGTGGAAAGAGATTGAGTTGGGAATACTGCATCCCTGCTAATTTAGCAGTAGTCAAGAAAGAGCTATAGAGGACTTTCAAAGTCACTAAGTGCAAAAAACATTCAAATATCCTGCTTTTAAGGACAGATCAAAGGCTTATTTCAGCACTGCCAGAATAAGAATTACCACTTGCGGATTGTATATGATAAACAAAGGAACCAATCTATTGTGCCTGCCCTGTTGGCAAAACGGGAATTAGAGTGTTCCAAGTCTTTAAAGGCTATTATAAAAAAAAAAGAATTTGGCATTCTTCAGCCACAGGGTATATAAAACACCACCATTTCACAATAATACCTTGTCACAGGTGCTAACACCTCACTGGCACAATTGTACCAGGAACATACCTTGATGCCAAAACTGTTTGAGGCACTGCTACCCTAGTGCTAGTACTATTATTCTTTATAATAATGGTGTTTTTAGGAGAGAAGACTCTTCTTTTGGCATGATGGCCTCTGAGACTACAATGCTCTCAACATACACTAACAGTCATGAACAGTACCAGCAACCAACTGTAAAAGCTAGAATGCATGCAACCACTCTAGAAATGAAGCATCTTGAAAAGCCATTTTCTCTTCCATTAAATTATACTAACATGGATCAAAAAAAGATGAGATCTCATGCTTCACAATATTGGCCCAGTGGAAGATTCCAGGAAGTTCTGCTGGGACACACGTATTATTTAGATTTGTATTACACAACTTCCCAGTACCTCTATTCGAGATAACTATGACAGAAAAATCTTTCATACAAATGTCAGACTTATAAGCACAAGAGCTTTTCAGGCACCACAACTTTTATTGTTTGTGGGAATCATTTAAATATACTAGCCAGTATAAGCTATGGTTCTCCCACAGGTCCCTGCTTGGACATTTTGTTCTTAGGGCGTTAAGAGAGCTTTACTAGCACAGACTTCACTGTTCTCTACCGGCAGTGTGCTCCTATTAATTACCCAGATCATGCTAGCAAAATTTAGTTTGGTGAACACTGCCTCTTCCTAAGCCCCATAAATGGTAAATAAACTACACGAGGATGTCGTGGTTTAAATCGGTTTCCCCAATTTAACTACAACTTCAGTAAAAGTTGTTCTGATAAAAGCTGCATCAATTGGAAACTACATTTCTTCACACTGACAAATGCAAATATCACAGCAAAAGTCTGTAGTCTAAACCTATCCAAAGCGTTATTCATACACACAGCTGATATCCTTCTGAAGCAAGAGATCCAAACTGCATAGATAACTGCCTCCTCTAGCAAAAGTTGGATGTATCAAGCTTTGCTGTTCAGAAAAAATTATTTTATTGTGTTGGCAAAACAACTCCTTTATCAAGATACCATTCATTTCCATTTACAGAATTTGCAGATACATTTATACTCTTCAATTTGATGATTACAATTGTTATGCCTGCCTTTGCAATTTCTTTACATTTGGCATTTTACCTCAAATTCACTTTTTTCATCCATGTCACTGGCTAGTAATATACTGCTGAGTTCATGCCTTACAAATTTCCCAGCTTCCCTCAAATATTAGTTCAACCTGCATTACTCAGGAAAGTTTTGTAATTTTAACTATTCCAGTATAGTAAAACAGTACATTTACCACTGCAGCTCAACAAGGCAACAGTGACTTTTTTAAACTGGGGGGGGGGAGAAAAATCCCCAAACCATTACAAAGGTACTTTATATCAACATAATGATAAAACTGCATGCAGTATAAGGCTTATAAAGAGATGGATTAACAACTGCACAAATGTCTATTTCATCTATGCATGAAAATGAGATCTACAAGAGGAGGCGTTACCTCAGAACAGTGCCACATACACACACTGGCCCTAAAAGTATTCATCCCATGTATACCTGTGGTACACCTGAGGTGGCACTGCAGGAAGTCAAGCTGGATGTTTCCTCAACTTCAATGGTGTTGGAATTCACACCCCACACTACCAGTCAGAGATAACGACAAGTTTACTGTCATAAACAATTAGATACGAAGCCCCTGAGAAACACTAACAAAAAAGGCTGCCTGATATAAATACTTGCACTAGCATAACTAATTTAGCAAGAGATTTCTTTCCTAAGGCAACTTGATGACACTAGTACTAACACTCTTGGTACATCCAACTGTACCTATATATAGATGTGCTACATTGCATAACCTTATTCTCTTTTCTACATTAGATTAAATAGGTCAGAATCATCAAGCTCATGCCAGGAAAACTTACCACTTTAAATCAAAGAATTTCTACAAGCAGATACAGATTTAAGCATCTACTGCCATACTTCACCATGTAGAAGGCTTGATAGTCTCTCATGGTGCAAAGAATTCAAGAGAGAGGAGAATTTTCCTCAAAATCTTTGAATTTTTTGAGCCTTGGAAAAAAACAAAATAGTTGCTTATTTTAGGTGATTTCAGACCAAATTTTCCTTAATCTATAGGACCCAAGCAATCTGTCAAGTTTTTAACTTTCTCATCTTCCAGTTTATATTCAAAGTAGCTATGCTACTATTTTTCCCTGTTAAGCCATTTCTCATCAGAATTCTACATCTTGTCCATACTTAATACATGCAGGTATGAATCAACTAACTGTGTCTTGTTGTTACCAGTAATTTGCCAAATACGTGCTCTAGGCGCAAAGGTTCTTTCCAAAATTCTGGTACCTACACCAGTACGGTTTTACCAAGAGAGACTAGTAACCCTGTAATTAATTTCAGTTGCAATATTCAGATAACGCTTATAACCAAGGAAGTGCAAAATCTTCACAAGCATATGTTTCTATATTGACAACAAAGTCCTTTCCTTCTAACGCTCAGCATCTAGATGGAGTTCAAATTCAGGAAAAGACAAGTTTCTTGCTGTGTACAAAACACAAGACTTCTCCGTAATACAAAAAAAAAAAAAAAAAAGGCAGAAAGTTGGTTGCAAACCACATGATGATTACAAAGCAGATGTCAGTGTGTAGCTTATTAACTACGAAGATGCTGCAGGAACTGCAAAAGCTACCAAAAACTGAAAAGCCAGCAAGGGAGCACAGACAGCTGTCAATATCAAAGCTTGACAGAACATGAGGGAACAGCAGGCTGAGGGAACTGAGTTCAGAACGTAAAACCCAGGAAGCAAAAAGAAAAATTATTTCACGAGACAGATGCCTCAAGGCAAAAAAATTAAAAATAGCAGAAAACTATAAGGTTGCTTTGGATAGAAAATCAATGCAAAAAGCAAAAGATATATAATTTATGTTTCAGTTCTTTTTTGTTCTTTCATGTTCCAAGGACATAATCTGAAGTCCAATCAAGTCAAAGTCTTTCAAAGCATTTTACAGCAATGGTATCAGGTGCTAATTAAGACACATTTTAAAGAGTGCTTCATCTTATTCATTTTGTTGCTTCATCTCACGCTGTCACAAGAATGTGGAACAGATTAATTTATCAGAAAAGGTTTGGATTCGAGGAGACACTGTAATTAAGTACAGAACAAGGTTAGTTATAGAATTCAAATACATAAGAACACACGATTTCATTACAAGAGAACCAAGGATGTCCGATTTCTCTTGTTCATGATTTTTGGGTCCTTACCAGGCCTGTTTGTGGCAGCCATAATGAAAACCTGCTGACGATTCTCCAGACCATCCATCTCTGTGAGTAACTGGTTAACTACTCGGACACTGGCTCCTGACTTTAAAAGGAGAAACTTGTCAACAAAATTGAGGAAGCAGTAGGAATGTGAATATTTCAAAGTAAAAGAAACAAAAGATCTACTAACTCCCTGCCCTGAAATACTGCTCAACAAAAAAGTTTTTTTCACACGTCCAGTGTAGCTGCGTTCTGGATTTCTACTACCATATTATTAGCACATTTCCACCTTAAATTCATGCTACCTATACACCTGCCACACACTTTAACATGTGGCAAACCTTTTCTCTCCCATTAAAAATGAAGGACTCAAAGAAGTACATATAGATATTTATACTAATCATTCTCTCATCTATCTCAACAAGAACACCCAAAACTTCTCAATATTCAGGTGGTTCGGGTTTTGGTGGGGTTTTTGGTGTTTGGTTTTTTTTTTTGGGGGGGGG